GCTTATCTTCTCATTCTCTTGCTATTGCCTTTTGCAAAGCATAATTTTATAATCAATTCCAGCTTATGAATTATTTCCTTCCTAGGTCATGTGTTTGGTGTTGTATCTAAAAAGGCATCACTAAAAAAAAAAAAAAAAAAAGGCATCACTACACTAGGGATCATCTAGGTTTTCTCCCGAGTTCTCTTCTAGGATATTTGTGGGTTTGCATTTTTTGGTGAGGTCTGCCATCCACTTGAGTTAATTTTTAGGAAGAGTGTAAGGTTTGTGTCTAGATTTTTTTTTTTAAGTAGGTATCCAGTTGTCCCAACACCATTTGTTGAAGAGACTGTATTTCCTCCATTCCTTGTGTCAACTTTGCTCCTTTGTCAAAAATCAGTTGACTGTGTTTATGTCAGTTTATTTCAGGGCCTTCTGTTCTATGGATCTATATTTTTGTGCTTTGGCCAATTCCAAACTGTTTAGATTATTATCACTTTATAGTAAGTTTTGAAGTTGGGTAGTGTTAGTCCTCCAGCTTTGTTCTAAGTATTGTGTTGGCTATTCTAAGTCTTTTGCTTCTCCATATAAACTTTAGAATCATTTTAATGATGTCTATAAAATAACTTATTGTTATTTTGGCCAGGACTGCATTGAATCTATATATTGAGAAGAATTGACATCTTGACAATAGTGAACCTTCCTATCCGTGAATATAAATAGCTCTCCATGTATTTAGTTTTTCTTTGATTTTATCAGAGTTTTGTAGTATTTCTTATGTAGATCTTATATATTTTTTGTTAGATGGATCATTTTAAAATCCATTCTGCTAGTCTTTTACTTGAGTGAGTGGGCATGTGATCCATTTACATTTAATATAATTACTGATAAATTAGAATTTATGCCTGCCATGTTTATATTTGTTTTTTATATGTCCTATGTCTTTCACATTTCTTTATTCCTTGATTCTTGCCTTCTTTCATATTATATTTTTTAAAAGATTTTATTGAGAGAGAATGTGTGTGTGGCAGGGGGCTGAGAAAGAGCAGAGGGAGGGATGGAGGGAGAGGGAGAGAGAGGATCACAAGCAGATTCTGAGCTGAGCATGAATCTCACGACCCTGAGATCATGACCTGATCCAAAATTAAGTTGGATGCTTAACCTACTGGGCTACACAGACACCCCATTTATAGTTATTTTTATAATACCTATTTCATGAACTTTTTATTACTCTTTCTTTGTGTGGATTCTGGTTACCCTTTAGTGTCCTTTATTTTGGCCTCAAGTATAGTATTTCTCATAAGGCAAGTCTGCTATCAACAAATTCTATTTTGTTTTGTTGCGGGTTTTTTTTTTGGGGGGGGGGGATGGTTTGTTTTTAAACCTGGAGATGTTTTAATTTCTCCTTCATTTTTTTCAGGGAAAGTTTAGCTGGACATGGAATTCTTGGTTAACTATTTCTTTCAATACTTGGAAGATGGTTACCTTCCTCTCTCTTCCATCTTTCTGATGAGATGCAGCCCTATGTTCTATGGGGGGTATACTCTCTGCATGGCATATTCTGAGCTGCAACTTCCTCAACTGTAGCTTAGTGGCTTATTTCTACCTGTTTTCTTTCCTCCAGAAGCTTACTGAGGTAACTAGTCCACAGATAACCTCTTCTTGTTCCTTGCTCTGTCAGATTATTCTTTTTTAAATATCTTTTCACTGAAGTCTTAGAAGGAGAAAGCTAGTTTATAAGCCCTAATCCACCATCTAAACCAGACATTCTGTATATCTTGCTATAGAAGGTCTGATCTAAGCCTTTGAAGAGCCAGGAGCCACATACCTGCTTATGTTTTAAATCACCCAGGCTTGTCACCCAAGTATTTGAAATATGTTTCACAGAATAGTTTTCTCATAGGGAAATAGTTCAGGAGTTGAAGAGATAGAAAATCACGTTATCTTCATAGTCTAGAAATAAATGGGAATAATCAAGAGAATCACAAGCTGCTTTACCTGTTTTAAGTTTTTCATGTTGAACTACCTGAAATAGAGAAAAAATTGAACAGTATGTCATAGGGATATTTAAATGTGAACATAATTATATATCCAAAATATTTATGTACTTATGAAAAGGAATATTCAGTTAATAAACATCTGTTGGTTAATAATCCAAATTATGCTGTCCAAAATGGTGTGGTATTTGTTGCTTGACCAAAAAGTGGTCCTGTGGGGAGTCTTACTTCCTGCTGATAACAACCACATGTCAGTGACCTGATTCCAGGTGATCACTTGGTCCAAACTAAGATTTAGGGAGGAATATTAGTACCCAGGTCTCACCTAGGAATATGAAGCTTTTTCTAGGTCTGGTTGATGATATGGGGCTTCTTAATGCATTTCAGAATTTCATGAAGATTGAGGAACTGTAAAAGGAAGGTTTTATTATCTGACAGCTGAACAGAACCCAGGAGACACACTTTCACAGTAACCTCTATTAATATCTGCTGTTAGATAAATGTAATGGTTTACCTAATGCAGCAGTTCTCAAAGTATTGCTGGAAACCAGGTAGAAATGCAGATTCTCAGCCACACCCAGACCTACTGAGTGGAAATTCTGTGGGTAGGACCCAAAAGTCTGGGTTTTTAAGAAAACCCCTCTGATAGGTGTCAGATCGGTAACTGTTGATATCTTGATGAATTTGAAGTTATCTATGGTGGTGACATTGATGTCAGGTGGGTTCAAACCTGTAAGAATGAACCTTGTGTGGCTGCAGGAAAAGGCTAGGGACAATGAAAACCTTGCTAGCAAAAAATCTGCTCCACCTGTGGTTAACATTTTACCCATTTGCTTTATCATAATATGTTTTCTGAAGAATCTGAACCAAACAGCATATTTCTTTAAATGATAAAAAAGCAAGGATCCTGCTGTGGTGTTGTTTTTCCCTGATGTGTGATGAGTCTCCTGAGAGCCCAATGACCTTCCCTGAGGTGCATTTAAGGTGTGAGATCACAGAAGTGGGTGAAATTCATAGCAAACTGTAAGACATCAGTATATTCAAGGCAGCCCTTAGTCCTTTCCCTGAGGACTTAGCTTGCTGGAAAAGGCTGGAGGGGTCTCAAGAACAAAAAAACATTTTTTAAATGTTGCCTGCCTGCCCCCAGGGGTGATTTGAGGAGAAAAAGAATTTTATCCAGTTTCATCATTTTTTTTTGAGGTGCAGATTCAGAAGTGAGGTTGTTTGTTTTACTTCATGTGGAATCATAAAGAGTGCTTTAATTCCTTAAGGACAAAATACTAGTGTGGTATCAGGAAGCTATGCTTTATAGCATCCGGGCCACTACATCTTCAGTCAGCCCTACATGATAAGGGATGTAAGAAAATGTGTAGTTGGTATTAGGGAAGCCATCCTAAAGCAGATAAAATTTGGGTCAAGGGTTGAAAATAAACACCCACCTCTCAAGGAATTAGAAAGAACACAGATCTGTCTGGTTGAAGACCTGCAAGAAGTTAGAGACATAAATGTGATCAGGAAAGCTAAGAGAAATGCCACTCTTTGTTTTTGTACAGTGATACTGTTGTTTCCTTTCATGGCCTCAGCAATAACCTTGACATGAGGAAAGGCATGATTACGGTTTCCCCTTTACAGATGGAAAGGTTGAGGTTCAGTGAGACTAAATGGTGGTGTTGGTGGCAGCTACCTTTGAGCAGTAATTCATGTATTCATTCATTCAGTCTTTACTGAGGACCTGCTATGCACTGGGCTCTGTTCTATGCAGTAGTTGACAAAGCAGACAAAACTATATGCCTTCAAGGAGCTGAGATTCTATTCTAGTAGGGGAAGACAGACAATAAAAGGAATAAATCAGTAAAGTATGCACCATGTTAGGTGTGTTTTCTTCAAAAATCCTGAGGAGAACAATGAAACAGGGAAGGGGAGCTGGTTTAAATTGTGAACAGGGTGGAAAGATGGGTTTTGAAGAGAGGGGTAGCATGACTTGGCTGAAGTTAACAAGGTCACTCTGGCTGCTATCAATAATCAACTGAATTATTGATAAGGCATGGAATTAGGTCTGTTATATGGGCTTGTAGGTCATCTCGGCAATGACTGCAGGGCAGATGTGAGTCTACGAGATACTAGTAAATGTGCTTAAGATCACAGAGCTGTTAAGTGGCAACAACTCTGTCTAACGTGTGTGGATTTTATGACTGTGCAGTCAGATCAGCTGTGTTTTTGTTTCTGTTCAGGGGGAGGTGGCCAGAATGTGTAAAGGAGCTTTGTTCTTGATACTTGTCTTTGGCACATCAGTGAATTAAGATTTGGCTAAAGGATTAGCAAAATGTCTGCACAAAGCAAAACAATTTTGAAAATCTTGCTGTGGATAGAGAGGTCTGAAGTTTTCCTGCAAGCTAAGGAATAATCAGGGTAGCAGAGTTAAGATGCATACAGTAACATTGAAGTTTCTTTTATCCAGTGTGAGGTCTTTGCTGTTGAGAGGCTGTATGCGTGGTGGTGAAGAGCACAAAAAGAGTAAAAGGTGGGGGATCCTTGGGTGGCTCAGCGGTTTAGCGCCTGCCTTTGGCCCAGGGCATGATCTTGGAGTCCTGGGATCGAGTCCCATGTCGGGCTCCCGGCATGGAGCCTGTTTCTCCCTCTGCCTGTGTCTCTGCCTCTCTCTCTCTCTCTCTATGTCTATCATAAATAAATAAATAAAATCTTAAAAAAAAGAGTAAAAGGTGTGAATTCAGATCCTAGCTCCACTATTTAATAGCCGTGATTATAGGCATTTGACTTTTCTTTACGTTTGTTTTCTAATCTGTAAAATGGGAATAATGTATGAAACTAAACACATTTTTGCCAGAAGATCCAGCAGTCATGCTCCTTGGTGTTTGCCCGTAGGAGCTGAGAACTATGCACACACAAACACCTACACATGAATACATACAACAGCTTCATTCATAACTGCCGAGCCTTAGAAGCAAGTCAGATGTCCTTCAGCAGATGACTGGATAAATAAAATGTGGTTCATCTAGATAATAGAATATTATCCAGCACTCAGAAGAAATGGACTGCCAGGCGATGAAGACATGTAGAAATCTTAAATGCCTATCACGAAATGAAAGAAGCTAATCTGAAAAGGTGATGTACTGTTTGATTTCAATTATATGACATTCTGGGAAAGGCAAATCTGTGGAGACAGTGAAAGATCAGGAGTTGTTGGGGTAGGACAGAGAAGGGGATGGCTGAATGGAGCACAGAGGATTTTTAGAACAATGAAAATTCTCTGTGTGATCCTATGATGGCACATATGTGTTCATCTATATTTATCCAAATCCATAAAATGTCCACCATCAAGAGTGAGCCCTAAAGTAAACTGTGGGCTCTGGGTGATGACGATGAGTCCATGTGGGCTCATCGGCTATAATAAATGTGCTATCAGACCAGAGTTTTGATAGGGAGGCTGTGCGTGTGGGATTGGAACAAGGTGTACCAGAGGAACTCCTTGTACCTTCCATTTGGTTTTGCTATGAACCTAAAACTGCTCTAAAATACAGTATTTTTTTTTATTGAAGTAATAGTAGTAATCCCCAAATGGTGTTGTAGTGAGGATTATGAGTTAAGACAAATAAGGGTCTTGGAACAATGACTGGCATGGACTAAGCTTATGTGTTTTATTTGTGAACAAAAAAGTATATAACTTCTCTAAGTTCACTCCCATACTTGGAGATCCCTATTTTTGCCTGTACAAACTTAAATTTTTCAACCTCAAATTCTTCTACCATGATTGCCATGTAGGAAGTAATCCTGCTGACACATGTCTTTAATGTGGGCAGAGGGCCTCTTGCATCAGGAGAGGTAGAGTGCAGGTTGACTCCTCACCAGAGGTCCCACCTCAGGTATCTTGAGGCATCCCTGATGGCCCTGATGCCAGTGGAGCACAAGTGCTCTGCAAGTCTGGGGAGGATTATGCTGCACTTCTGACCTCCCAGCATTTCTTCTTCTTCTTTTTTTTAAATATGATTTTATTTATTTATTTATTCATGAGAGACAGAGAGAGGCAGAAACACAGGCAGAGGGAGAAGCAGGCTTCCTGCAGGGGAGCCCAATGTGGGACTCGATCCCAGGACCCCCGGATCATGACTTGAGCCAAAGGCAGATGCTTAACCACGGAGCCATCCAGGCATCCCTTACCCCCTGCACTTTTAACACAGTCCCCACACATTCTCCCCTAAAGTACACCTGCAGGCTTTTTGTCGGGAAGATGGAAGAGAAAGCGATGACCTCAGAACTTGAATCACCACAGAGCCCGTCTTTTGTGTGAAATGACCTTTATGAAGGAGAACATTCTTTATGTCAAACTCTTACTTTGTGACGACTCTTCTTAATGGTATGAGTGATCATCCATTGCTGTTCTGAATTTAAAGTATTAGGTACTAATTAGTGAGCCTGTGATTAATCCTAAATGTTGAGTCATTTTGAAGAACTTCTTGGGATGAAAGCAAATTGTAGGATAGAGAGAGCAAAATATCTGTCATTAGCAGCAGGAAATGAAATTAAATAAGATGATTGTACAGTGAAATGACAGGATTGCTGTTCCAACCCTCTTTCTCCTGACTCTGCAACCAGGACTCATGAAATGAATTCAGTTGTGAATGAAGTTAATGTTTTATAAATCTTCTTGAGAAAGTCAGCCATTACTAACTGCCAGCAGGACTGTTTTATAGATAATGAAGGGAATACTTAATGAAGTCTCATACTCTGATATTGGTTTGCAAATTAAAATAACAGTACTATATTGGATAACTATATGCCAGAAATTATACTAGAAAAGCACAGGCTCAAACAATCGTTCTTTATCCCCACAACAAGCTAAAAAAGATATAATAATTCTCATTTTGCAGAAGAGAAAATTGAAGCTTAAATTTTGTATAGCTGGCAATGAACAGAGTCAAAGTTTAAACACAGAACTTCTGGCTGTTCGATATAGTTTAACCTCATCGGGCTGGATGTGATTGGGCAGCAGTTATATCCAGTGGGACTATATATGTCAGTGTCTTCAGGCAGAGTTCCCGTGACTTCCAGTTATTCAGAGAGATCCAGGGAGGGGATTCTGCTTCCAACCACAGTGAAATTACAGAGACCAGGGTTACCCTTCTGCCTTAGACAACTGGAAAACCAGACAAAGTATATAAAAATGGGTTTGGGACTGTAGAAAGGCAGCTCGGGACGATAATCTCTGAGACGAGAAAAGACACGGGTAGCCTGAGATGGCACTGGCTTCTTCCCTGGAAGCAGTTTCCAGCTGCCGCATGGGAGGAAGAGCGTCCTCGGGGATGTGCCAAGAGCCAGAGTGGCTAGAGTTTGTGATGACAGGAGCAGCACGGAGAGGGCGGTGGCCGCGTGCAGAGGGCCTGCCAGTCTCTGCTGGTCCCGGTGTTTACCTGAATACTGATTCGTGCACACTACCCAAGGCTGGGGACAGACGCAGGAAGGAGTGGACAGTACAACTGCCAGGGCTCTCAAGGGCTGGAAGCGGATCGTGTGCCCACCAGCCAGAGAAGAAAGGCCTTGTGACACCCAGAGGAGCAGGTGGAAGCCTCGGAGAGATGTCACTTAAACCATGAGACTGATCTAGCCTGGAATGAAGGCTGCCCTACAGCTGCCCTACTGGTTCCAAAGAATTAATCTAATGAGACAAGAGAAGTGAGTGGTTGAGGTCGTTGGGTAATTAATTGGGGTTTCCTGGAGGAAGCTGGAAGGTGAAGCCGACAGCAGGACCAGTGTTTGGGCAAAGAGGAGGCTGTTCACTTTGTCGGGCAGTGGAACTGGGGCTGCTAGACTTTGTAGATCAGAGCAGGTGATGAGCGGCTGCAAGGAGAAGGAAGAGGAGCCTGTGTGGATGGTTTTGATTATCTGTTTTAACTCTCAGACTGAAAGGTCTGGAAATACTCCATTTCCCAAACTGATGTTTATTACATATCTCGGATCTTTGAAGGTTTATAGTTTACTCTAAGCATATACAGTAACTCTCAGGTAATTAGACCATTCAAGAATACTTTCCTTTTTTCACTGGCTTTTCTAGGTTAAAAGAATTACTTTTTCATAAAAAGCATGTATTCGTGTTGTTTGACATATATTTAAGCCACACATAGATTATTAACAAATAGAGCTTTTATTTTACTTTATTTTACTATTTTTAAGATGACTTTTATAGTCACATTTGGATACATATGATATTGTTTGAAGATGGGCCATCTTTAATTTTGTAGATTAACTATATGTTTTAGCAATACTGTCAGCCTGCAACAAAGGGATAGCATTTATCTATTATCTATTATTAAATTGAGATCTACATGCTGCATTAGAGAAACTTTTCTTATTTTGGTAGGAAAGTTAAAGTTATAGGAAAAATCTCACAGGTTGGACAACATGAAACCAGTAGTACTGCTAGGCAAAATACACCAAGAACATATATATGATAAACTAATTCTTAAAAGTGTGATTTTTAAAATTACGTTCTTAAAAAAGATTTTATCTATTTATTTGGGAGAGAGAGCATGTTGGGCAGGTGGGCAGGGAGAGAGAGGGGGGAAGCAGACTTCCTGCTGAGCAGGGAGCCGGACGTGGGGCTCAATCCCATGACCCCAGGATCATAACCTGAACTAAAGGCAGATGCTTCACCGACTGTGCCGTTTTAAGTTTTAAGCTTTAATTCCAGTAGTTAACACACAGTGTTATATTAGTTTCAGGTGTACAATATAGTGATTCAACACTTCATACATCACTCCGTGCTCATCACGACAGGTGCACTCCTTCCTCCCATTACCTGTCCTCCCCATCCATCACCTACCCCCCCCCCAACCATCAGTGTGTTCTCTGTAGGTAAGAGTGTGTTTCTTGGTTTCTCTCTCTCTCTCTTCCTGTGCTCTTTGTTTGGTTTCTTAATTTCCACACAAGATTTCATTCTTTTTTAATGGCTTAGTAATACTCCATTGTGTGTGTGTGCACACACATGCCACATCTTTATCCATTCATCAGTCAATGGATGCTTGGGCTGCTTCCATATCTTGGCTATCGTAAATGCTATAGTGGATATAGGGGTGCATGTATCCCTTTGAATTCACGTTTTTAGGGGGAGGAAGCAAACACCCAGTAGTATGATTAATGGATCATAGGTTTGTTCTATTTTTAACTTTTTGAGGAAACTCTATACTGTTTTCCAGAGCAACTGCACTAGTTTGCATTTTTGCGTTTCTACCAGTAGTGCACAAGGGATTCTTTTTTTTCTCTACATCCTTGCCAACACTTGTTTCTTGTCTTTTTTATTTTAGCGATTCGGACAGGTGTGAGGTCATATCTTATTGTGGTTTTGATTTATATTTCCCTGATGATGAGTGATGTTGAGCATCTTTTAATGTGTCTGTCGTGTCATTTGTCTGGATGTCTTCTTTGAAAAAATGTCTATTCATGACTTCTGCCCATTTTATAACTGGATTATTTGTTTTCTGAGTATTGAATTTTATAAGTTCCTTATATATTTTTATACTAACCCTTTATCAGATATGTCATTTGCAAATATCTTCTCTCGTTCAGTACAGATTGCCTTTTAGTTTTGTTGATTGTTTCTTTCACTGTACAAAAGCTTTTTATTTTGATGTGGTCCTGTTGGTTTATTTTTGCTATTATTTCCTTTGCCTCAGGAGGCATATCTAGAAAAATGTTGCCACAGCTGATGTCAGAAACATTACTGCCTGTCCTCCCTTCTAGGACTTTATGGCTTCAGGTCTCACATTTAGGTCCTTGATCCATTTTGCATTTATTTTTGTGTATGGTGTAAGAAAGTGATCCAGTTTGATTCTTTTGCATGTAGCTGTCCTGCTTCCCCAACACCATTTATTGAAGAGAATATATTTTTCCCATTGGGTATTCTAACCTGCTTTGTTGAAGATTAATTGACCACATAATTGTGGGGTTTTTTTCATGGGCTTTCTATTCTGTTCCATTGATCTGTGTGTCTGTTTTTATGTCAGCACTGTATTGTTTTGATTACTACAGCTTTGTAATATAACTTGAAGTCTGGAATTGTGATACTACTAGTTATGTTTTTTCTTTTTCAAGATTGCTTTGGCTATTTGGGGTCTTCTGTGGTTCCATAATAATTTTAGGATTGTTTGTTCTAGTTTCATGAAAAATGCTGTTGGCATTTTGTTAGGGATTGCATTAAATCTGGAGATGGCTCTGGGTAGTATAGACATTTTAACAATATTTGTTCTGCCAAGTCATGAGCATTAAATGTCTTTCCATTTCTTTGTGTTGTCTTCAGTTCTTTTCATCAGTGTTTTGTAGTTTTCAGAGTACAAATCTTTCACATCCTTGATTATGTTGATTCTTAGGGGTTTTATTACTTTTCGTACATTTACAAATGAAACTGTTTTCTTAATTTATCTTTCTACCACTTCATTATTGTTGTATAAAAAACACAACAGCTGTCTGTACATTGATTTTATATCCTGCAACTTTGCTGAAGTTAATCAGTTTTAGTAGTTTTTTGGTGGAGTCTATCAGGTTTTCTACTACAGTATCACATCATCTGCCAATAGAATTTTACTTCTTTCTTACTAATCTGGATGCCTTTTATTTCTTTTTGTTGTCTGATTGGTGTGGGTAGGACTTCCAGTACTATGTTGAATAAAAGTGGTGAGAGTAGACATCCTTGTCTTCTAAACTTAATCCAACCTCTTCTCTTAGGGGAAGAGCTCTCAGTTTTTCCCCATTGAGGATGATTAGCTGTGGGTTTTTCATATATGGCCTTTATTATGTTGAAGCATGTTCCTTTTAACCCTACTTCCTTAAGGGTTTTTATCATGAATGGTTGTTGTGCTTTGTAAGTGCTTTTTTCTACATCTATTGAAATGACCATGTGGTTCTTATCCTTTCTCTTATTGATGTGATGTATCACATTGATTCATTTATGAATGTTGAACTACTCTTGCATCCCAAGAATAAATCCCACTTGACTGTGATGAATGATTTTTTAAATATATTGTTAGATTTGGTTTGCTAGTATTTTGTTGAGGATTTTTGCATCAGTGTTAATCAGAGATATTGGCCTGTAGTTCCCTATTTTAGTGGTGTCTTGATCTGGTTTTGGTATCAGGGTAACGCTGACCTCATAGAATGAATTTGGAAGTTTTCCTTTCTCTTCTATTTTTTGGAATAGTTTGAGAAGAATAGAGATTAACTCTTCTTTAAATGTTTGGTAGAATTTGCCTGTGAAGTCATCAGGTCCTGGGCTTTTGCTTATGGGAGTTTGTTGATTACTGATTCAGTTTCATTGCTGGTAATCAGTCTGTTCAAATTTTCTATTTCTTCCTGCTTCAATTTTGGTAGTTTATATGTTTCTAGGAATTTGTCTGCTTCTTCTAGGTTATCCAATTTCTTGGCATATAATTTTTCATAGTAGTCTCTTAAATTGTTTGTATTCCTGTGTTTTTGGTTGTTATTTCTCCTCCTTGATTATTGATTTTATTTGAGTCCCCTCTCTGTTTTTTTTTTTTTTTTTTTTGATGAGTCTGGCTAGAGGTTTATCAATTTTGTTGATCTTTTCAGAAAATCACCTCCTGATTTCATTGATCTGTTCTATTGGTTTCTTTAGTTTCTATATCATTTATTTCCTGCTTGAATATTTTTTTAAAGATTTACTTATTTGAGAGAGTGTGTGTGTGCATGTGTGCTAGTGGGGGGAGGGGCAGAGAGAGGGGAAGAGAATCCTCAAGCAGACTCTACACTGAACACGTAGCCCAACTTGGGGCTCAATCCCAGGACCCCGAGATCATGACCCAAGTCAAAATCAAGAGGTGGATGCCCAGCTGACTGAACCATCCAGGAGCCCCATTTCTGCTCTATTCTTGATGATTTCAGCTGCCTTCTACTGGTTTGGGCTTTGCTTGTTCTTTTTCTAGCTCATTCTGGTGTAAGGTCAGGTTATTATTATTTTTTTAAGATTTTATTTATTTATTCATGAAAGACAGAGAGAGAGAGGCAGAGACAGAAGCAGGCTCCATGCAGGGAGCCTGATATGGGACTCGATCCCAGGACTCCAAGATCACATCCTGGGCCAAAGGTAGGTGCAACGGCTGAGCCACCCAGGGATTCCCCACAGTCAGGTTATTTATTAGAGATGTTTCTTGCTTCTTGAGAGAGGTCAGTTATTGCTGTAAACTTCCTCTTAGAACCACTTTGGCTGCATCCCAAAGATTCTGGACCCTTGTGTTTGTATTTTTTTTAATTTTTAATTTTTATTTAAATTCAATTAATTAACATATAGTGTATTATTAGTTTCAGAGGTACAGTTCAGTGATTCATCAGTTGCATATAACCCCCTCATTATATCACGTGCCCTCCTTAATGCCATCACCTAGTTACCCCGTCCTCCACCCACCTCCCCTCCAGCAATCCTCAGTGTGAGAGGGTTCCCCTTTCTCCACATCCTCACCAACATCTGTTGTTTCCTGGTGATTTTACCCATTCTCACTGGTGTGAGATGGTATCTCATTATGATTTTGATTTGTATTCCCCGATGACCAGTGATACAGAGCATTTTCTCATGTGCTTGTTGACCATATGTAGGTTGTTTTTGGAGAAATGTCTGTTCATGTCTTCTGCTCATTTCATGACTGGATTTTTTTTGTTTTGGGGGTGTTAAGCTTGATACATTCTTTTTTTTTTTTAATTTTTTTTTAATTTTTATTTATTTATGATAGTCGCACACACAGAGAGAGAGGCAGAGACACAGGCAGAGGGAGAAGCAGGCTCCATGCACCGGGAGCCCGACATGGGATTCGATCCCGGGTCTCCAGGATCGCGCCCTGGGCCAAAGGCAGGCGCCAAACCGCTGCGCCACCCAGGGATCCCTTGATACATTCTTTATAGATTTCGGATACTAGCCCTTTATCTGATAAGATATTTGCAAATATCTTCAACCATTCTATAGGTTGTCTTTTAGTTTTGTTGACTATTTCCTTTGCTGTACAAAAGCTTTATATCTTGATGAAGTCCCAATAGTTCATTTTTGCTTTTGTTTCCCTTGTGTTGGAGATGTATCTTGCAAATTTGCTACAGCTGATGTCCAAGAAGGTGCTGCCTGTGTTTGATGCTAGGCTTTTGATGGATTTCTGTTTCACATTCAGATCTTTCATCTATTTTGAGTCTATTTTTTTAAAGATTTATTTATTTATGATAGACATAGAGAGAGAGAGGCAGAGACACAGGAGGAGGGAGAAGCAGGCTCCATGCTGGGAGCCTGACGCAGGACTTGATCCCGGGACCCCAGGATCGCGCCCTGGGCCAAAGGCAGGCGCTAAACCGCTGAGCCACACAGGGATCCCTTGAGTCTATTTTTGTGTATAGTGTAAGAAAATGGTCCAGTTTCATTCTTTTCTGTGTGGCTTGGACCCTTGTGTTTTCATTTTAATTTGTCTCCATTTCTTATTTCTTTGATTTCTTGGCTCACCCATTGGTGTATGATTTTTTTAATGAAGAATTGATATTCTTAATATAGAAAAACATCTTGTAAGTCAATAAGAAAGGGGCAAATGTCCCAATAGGGAACAGGGCTAATAAGCTCTGAAGCAGGCAGTTTAAAATTCATTTTTTCATTTAAGTATAGTTATATTTATTTCAGGTATATAACATAGTGATTCGATATTTATATACATTACAAAATAATCACCACAATAAATCTAGGTACCATCTGTCACCATACAAAGTTATTACAATATTATTAAAGTTTTCAGGTTTTCCCCATTGAGTCTCATGTTAGCAGTGGGTTTGTGTCTATAATGTCCATATCTCGTAGCATGGCACTGTCCAGTGGAATATAGTGTGAGCCTTGTAGTCAATTTTAGATTTTCTAACAGCAACATTAAGGATAAAAAGAATCAGAGAAAATTAATTTTGATAATATATTTTATTTAACCCAGTATATCAAAAATATTTCAATGTAGAATCAAGGTAAAAAAAATTGTAGTGAACTATTTTAGTCTATTTTGTGCTAGACACAAAATCTTGTATTTGACATTTGACACAGCACATCTCGAGTCTGTACTAGTCACATTTCAGGTGCTGGGGAGACATTTAGCTAATGGCTATTATAGGCAGCAGAAGTCTGGCACTTGATAGGTGATTCATAAATGAACATGCCATAGGTAAATTCTCAAAAACTAATCCTTTTTTTTTTCCTTCAACAGACTACCATGCCTGCGGGCATCTTGCCCGAAAATGAAGAACCATGTTCCACTTTGGTGAATAACAGTGCATATGCTGCAAACATGAAGGGTAAGAGTGCTTTGATATACTTGTTGCCTCTTTGTACAAAGTGGCCTTAATAAAACAGTGTGAGCAGACAAGACACACAGCTCAAGGCATCATACTGGGATCCTGAGTGCAGCTGCTGCTTATGGCTTTTGTTTATTTCTGCCTCACTGTTTTGACCTATTAAAATTCATTTTCAAAATCCTGAATAACAGGTCTTTTGAGAAGACATGTTGAAAACAACGTTTATCTCCTGTGTTATCCTCTCAGACTGAAATTATCTGCTCCTCTCATCAAACACCTCCTTGTGAGTCAAGCTTTCCTTTCTTTCTTCTCTCCTTCCTCCAAGTGTCACTTAGAGGCACGTTGAGGAGCACAGAGCCCCAGGTCCCCCAGTCTTTCTCTCCTCTGTGCCATCCCTCAGTTTGGATCTTTTCCACGGCAACCCTGGAAAGGAAGGGCGCCATGACTGCACCTCTGGCTGCCACACCGGCCCTCAGGCTGTCCCACCGTCGCAGGTGCTAAGCCAGGGGCACACCCTGACTTCCTGCCACATTGGCACCACCAGTGGGGCCACCACCACCAGCATTCAGCGAGATGTTGAATCATTTTTCTTGGCAGTGCCCTTTGCGTGATTTTCTTGTGGCCTGCTGTTGGTTCGCATTGTTCACAGTAGTGCTCCTGCTCAGGGAGCTCTGAAGGACTGTCCCCTAGGGTGGATCAGGTGATATAAGGAGGAGTAAAGGAGGAAGGGTGCCTCCAGGTACGGGACTTCTTTGTCCTCTGGGAGCATCTGGCTCTCCATGATTGTAGCAATCCAACCAGCCACCAGGGGGGGCCGTCTCTCTCCAGGAAACCAAGAGTGTTCTTCCTGAGACCTGGCAATTGGAAGGAAGTCCTCCCAAACATCCTTTATCAGTCGGTGCGGGCAGCACTCCACCATCCCTGTGCACCTGCTTCCTGGCCCAGTGGTCTTTTCCTCTTTTCCCTGTCCCAGCCCTGGAGTCACCCAGGGAGCTCTGGTCCCTTTCAGTGGAGAATCATGTCCAGGAACCATGATATGCTCACTACTGCAAGGGCAGAGCTAGGATGAATGTGTCAATAAGTGTGCACAGTGAGAATCCACAGAGAACTTGTGACTCCCCAAGGACTTGAACCCTGCCAGCTGCTTGTTGACCGGGAGCCTTATCCATAACCATTGATTGACACAGCTTTCGTGTGTTACATACTGTAATTGTACAATAAAGCAAGGTAGAGAAAACACATTCACCATATTGTGCTGTATTTACCAAAGGCACATGCAGTTCACATGCATGCCATTCAGGGGTCACCTGCCAGCACCTCCTTGTGTTGGGCCCAACTTCTGCTACGTGACCCTCCCCCTGAGGCCTGCCTCATGGCTGTGTTTGATTATGTATACACTTTTAATTAACTGAGGTAACTGTACCATCACACGCAACTGCCAGTTGCAAACAGAAAGACCCTTGAGGCAGTTTCCACCACTGGTAATGTCTTGCAGATGCAACGTGATATCGCAGCCAGGATGTTGATGTAGTTACAGTCACCATATAGGACAGCACCGGGGCGCCTGGATATTCGGTCGGTTGGGTGTCTGCCTCTTGTTCTCGGCTCAGGTCGTGATCTCAGGGTTGTGCTCCACACTGGGTGTGTAGCCTGCTTGAGATTCCCTCTCCTGCTCTCTCTCTCCCTTACCCCATGCTCAGCCATGCTCACTTTCTCTCTCTAAAAAAAAGGATACGGGACCACGCTGTCACTACAGGGATCCTCCTGTTGCCCTTCTGTATCCAGACCCACTTCCACCCATGATCTGGCCCCTCACAAGAACTGATCTGTCCCCATTTCCCCATGAATGAAGTCATACAGCACAGGACCTTTAAACATGGCTCTTCTTGCCTGGCCTCGTTCCCTTGGTTTGTGTGTCTCTCCGGTGTGCTTGTTAATGCTGAATGGCACTCACCAGCAGGGCTGTGCCATGGGGTCGACCCATCCACTTCTGAAGGGTGGCCTGGTTGTTGCAGTCCGGGGCAATCTTGGACAGAGCTGCTAGAAACGCACACATGCGGGTTGACACATGAGCAGGAGTTTCTGTCACTCTGGGAGAATTGGTCAGGAGGGCGCCCCCTGGGTCATGCGTGTGGCAGGGGCATGTTTAGTTTTCTCTGAAACTGCCAAGGGATTATCCAAAATGTATGTGTCATTTTACGTCTCCCAGCAGTGGATAAGTGGTCAGGTCCCCCTGCAGCCCATGGGGTGAGGGGCTGTCACTGTTACCTTCCCGTCCCTGCAGGTGTGTGGTGGTGTCTCATCCTGGTTGCTGGCCTCACTAACTAGGCCCAGAAGGTTCTGGGAGATTCCTTGGGATTTTCTGTATAAATAATCACATCTGCAGATAAGGGGCATTTTCTTTCTTTTCTTTACAGTCTCTGTGCCATTCTCTCCTTTCCTCATTGTGGCGGGCTGATACTTCAGAGCAGAGAGGACATTAGGAGGGCAGACAGCCTTGCCTTCCCGCTGACCCTGGAGAAGATTTTGCAGGCGCTCTGGAGCAAGGGTAACCCAGTGCCCTCCACTGTGAAATTACTCAGATCTTTTGTCACGGATGTTGTTGGAATTTGTCGTGTGCTTTTTCTGTGTCCATTGATAGAATCATGTCTTCTCTAGCTCATTGATGTGGTGGATTATATTGGTTTTTGATGTCTAACCGTCCTTCCCATACCTGCAGTACATCCCATTTGGCAGTGCCATACAGTCATTCATGCATCGCTCGGCTTGGTTTGCTGACACTTTATTCAAGATTTTGTCTTAAGTTCTGGGGAGACACTGGACTGTCATCCCCTTTTTTTGTACTATCCCTGTCTGCTTAGGTAAAAGAGTAATCCTAGCTTCATAAAAGGGGTTGGAAATGTTCCTTCCTCATCTGTTTTCTGGAAGATATTTTGAAAACCAGTTTTAATTCTTCTTTAAACATTTGGTAGCATTTTCCAGTGTCTTAGCAGGAGGCTTCGGCCCCCGGAGGCTGCAGATTTTGGGCTCATCACAGCGTATCTTCAAGTCACACCTGTGACTTTTCTGCCCTGCAAGGTGCTGAGGTGCCCAGACAGGTTAGAATAAATGCACACAAGAATCTTCAAATCAGGACTTCTGTGCTGGTCCTGGAACTAGCGATCAGGGTCCCACACTGGGAAGGCAGACTGCCAAGCTGGGGAGACAGTGGGCGAGGACAAGTGATTAGTCCATAGACAGGGTGGTCCCGGCACAGAGACAGACGTAAACCAGTGACTGAAATAGAGATCCCAGTGAGACCCCTCACGTAGGTGGTCAGATGCCATCTGCCAAGGGCGACGAGACTGTCACCAGTTGGTGGTGGACAATCTGGGTGTACATGTGTAGGGGAATGACATTGGGCCCTTACCGTGTGCCATGCACAAAAGTTAACTCAAAATAGCTCAAAATCCTAAACGTAAGAGCTGAAGGTATAAAACTCTTAGAGCATTTCCAGGGGAAATGCTGCAGGACCCTGGATTTGGCAGTGATTTCGTGGCTGTGACACCAACAGTACAGGCAACAGTACAGGCACAGTACAGGCAACAAACAGTAGATAAATCAGACTTCATCAAAATTTAAAACTTTCCTTCACAAATGATGCCATCAGCAGAAAGGAAAGTCTGTCTGTGAATGGGAGAGACTGCTTGCAGATCACATATCCCTCTCATTCGGGCCAGTCTCCAGAAGGTGTAGAGAATCCTAGATCTCAACAAGCAAACATGAGCGAGCGGGTTCAGAAACAGGTGCAATAGATGTGTCTCTGAAAGGACACACAGAGGCCCCACATGCGCAGGAGACGTTCACTGTACCCATTACAGACATGCAGGTGAAAACCACACTGAGGTACCACTGTGTGTCCAGTTGGATGGCTGTTAGCCAGCACGAGGACTGGAAATGACTGGTGTCAGTGACACGTGGAGAAACCGGGGCCCTCATCTTCCTGCTGGTGTGGGTGGTGCAGCCACCATGGACATCTGCATGGGCATTTCTCAAAAAATTTAAAAAGCAGTTAGGATGTAATCCAGCAGTTCTGCTTCTGGCTGTAAGCAGAGAACAGAAAGCAGACTCGGCAGGTGTCTGTGCACCCACATTCCTGGAGACGATCGCAGTAGCCCAAAGCGGGAAACACCCCACAGAGTGTAGGTGGACCCTGAGGACACTACACTGAGCGACAGCAGCCAGACATGCAAGGAGGGCACTGTGCAACCCCTCATCTGCAGGAGACCTGGAGTGCTCACATTCTAGGGACAGAGAGAGGGGTGGGTGCCAGGCGCTGGGGCGGGGGAGATGAGGAATTAGTGTTTAATGGGGATAGATGGTGGGATGGTCACACATGCAGACGGATGTCCTTAACGCCAGTGTAGGTAGTGTGCCCTTCAAAAGGGCTGCAGTGGCCTATCTTGTGTTATATATATTTTACCACAAGGGGCGGCCCCAGCCATGACACCCACGCAGAGGGCCCCACTTGGGCATTAGGTCCTCGGGTCAGGTTGGGAGGGTACCTGTCCGCCCGGAGGGCCTGCATGCTGATGGCTAGGAGCACACCCAGCGCCCGGACTCGTGTCCTAAGCACCACTGCTCAGCCGTGAGCACCCGGGCTACTTGGGTCTCATCATGAGGAAACAGATCGTCTGCCAAATAATGGGCGTGTTCCCTGCACAAGTCAGGGAAAGACTGGAGCTTGCCCTGGAGCAAATCGGTGAGATGTGGGCCAATATGTGGTTCTGACATGCTGTAGGCTGATTTGCCGCAAGGAGCATGAGATCTGGGGACAGAGGCACCTGGTCCTGTGTCTGTCGTAACCTTCTGGCTTGGGGGAATCTACAGGATGTCTTGTTTATGGGAAACATATGCTAAATTATTTGGGGTAATAGGGCAGTGTATCAGCAGCTTATTCTCAGATGGCTCAAGAAAAAAATACTTTATTATCGTTTTCTGTAAGTTTGAGATTGCTTCAAAATGAAATGTAAAGTCTTCTCCAAAAAATTTTTAACATCAAACTGAATTGTCCAGCTGTGGTGTGTGCTGCTGAGCAACCTACTGAGACCACAGCCGTCCGGCACCATCGGAGACCTTAGCTAGAGCAGGATTCAGTGGCTGGTGGAGGCAGAGGCCAGAGCGATAGGTGGGACAGGCGACCTGCATGTGAAGTTTTGCCAAGAAGGGGAATGGAGGAAGGCCTTCTGACATGGGCCTGTGGTGAGGGGTCTGGAAACAGTCATGTACGCAGGAACGCTGGAACAATTAAGAAACTGCGGCCCTTGGAGGGGATGACCTGGAGAAGTTCTGCTTCAGATACTTGAAGATCTTGCAAAGTCAAAGAGATGCTTTGTTTTAATTTTTGGAGGAAAGAAGTAGAGCCCGTGTTCACGCATTGGGCCGTCCAGCCACTGAGAGTTTGGTAGCTGTGCCTCCCACCACAAAGCACGGCAAGCAGAAGCTGCTCCCGGATGTGAGTGCTCTGGTGGCTTCCAGCTGAGGACATGTGGTTATCCAGCTCCCACTGTGCCCTCGGCCCACGGTCACATGGCTTTGTTCTCAGCCCCTTCTGAGATCTTGAGTATAAGAGAAAATGACTGGAGCCTGGGGTTCCACTCTGACCACCAGGTGTGCGGAGTGAAGAGGAATCACAGAGGGTCTCCCTGTTGCTTCCTGTGTGCACCCCTGGGGTAGACAGCCCGCGTTTGTAGTGACCAGGGACTCCCGCAGCCCTTTAGCACTGTCGTGTGTCGGGGAAGGCCTATTGCCCACCTGCAGTCAGGTTGAGGGCCACAAAGGTATAACGGTATGGAGCCCGGAGCCCAGTGCTCACGTTCTCCATGCCCCGGTGGCAGCAGAGGCATGGACTGTATAGGATGGGCCCTGGGGAGTACCCCTTGTCTTGTGTTCCTGCTTTCTCCTGGAGCCTGGTCTCTTTAGAGACGGCATGTGTGGAGGTAAGCAGAAGACGAACGGTAGCATGGCAGCACCCCTGAGTCCATGGCCCTGGGATGCAGACGTTTGACTTCCTCCGTCCTTAGAAGAACACGTCAGAGGAGCAAAAACATGAGCTCTTAGCAGGGGGTGGGACACCTGCACTCATGTGGATTCTAGTGGCCTGCAAATAAATGACAGTGATGTTCTCTCCATGGCTGCCAGGAGGACACTCTACCTTTTAAGTGTCTGCGGACAGCTTGGCCCTTCACAAAACCACTCAGAAACATCCCATTTTATTAGTCATGACATCACAGGGCTCCTGTATCTAGAGAGGGCCTCTGTTGGTTTTCCTGCTGGTAATTTACATATTAAAATGTTACCTCTGAGAGTTGGAACAGTTCATCACTGACAATCTGTGATTCATCCCAACTTAAAATTTTTGGTGGATTTTTAGGTTGTTAGATGACTTTATGCCATTTAGCATAAATAAAAACTGGCTTTCAAAGATGGGTTTGGCCGCAGTTTAGGCATTTTGCCAACAAAGAGTGTGGAGCTGGAGATGGTGGGTAACAGTCCTGCTGTGTGGGGAAGGAGCACTCACGGGGGGACAGAGCCCCTCTTGAGCAGCAGATGTGGCCCCCACACCCTCGGGAATCGAGGGACGGTGCAGACTCGTGTTTGCCTTTGACTCCGCTTCACTGAAGACCTGGCTGCGGGGGCCCTGAGCGCCAGTGAGCCCACACGGGTAGTTACACGTTTGTGGGAGGTCGGCTTGGTTCTCCACATGTCACAGCAGAGATAGTTCTTGAGCTGATGCACAGCTACCCCTTCTCGGCATCGCCCAGATGAGGCCAGCCGTCGTCAAATTCATTTTCATGCTCGGTGCTGTTGAAAACCCCACAGAGGGGCCTGGTCTGCAGACGTGCACCTCCCACTCCCGCACTGGCGCCAACTTCCTGGGACTTGGGCTGCTGCTCCTTGTGCCGTGGTGCCCCCAGAGCTCTGTGCTGGGCTTCCCCATGGCCACCTGAGCCTCCTCGGCCTCTTGCCAGCGCCCTGGTTGCTGTCTGTCCACCTACATGTCGTCGGGCCTCCCATAAGTCCATTCCTGGCATCACTGTCCCACAGGCCCAGAGCCCCCACAGAGACCTGCCTGGACCCCCTACCCTGCGTGGCTGGTGCAGCGCCCTGGCTTTGTGTGCACTAGGGCTAGGCCACCAGGCCTCCCTCTCTTGTAAGGCTCTGTGGAGGCCCTGCTTCTCCTCCATTGCTTACATTAAAGAAAATTCTTTTCGGTCACCTTGTGCACATAACAAGGGTGTGAACCGGCCCTTGGGGAGGAGTTCGGGCACCACATGGAGCTCCATGTCCATCCTGTTTGACAGAGTCTGTTCAGGTGGGAGGTGGGGGAGCGCTGGAAAGGGCACATACTTCCAGTGTCACCGAGCACACAAACCAGAGTGGCCTCTGTGACCCGAGGTTGTTTCCATCTGTATGGGGCTAAGAACCCGCTGGAGACAGAGACGCGGGCTGGGGCGGGCCTGGTATTCTCCCAGGCGGAGGCGGTGGCAGTGTGAGAGTTTCTGTGTTCTCCGCATCCTTTGCCCTCACATCACAGCCTCCTCCTCATCCAGCTCCTGAGAAGAATGTGATTCTTGGTGGATTTTTTCCGCCAGCCTCCCCAGAGACCTTCCTGGAGCTTCGTTTCCCCCACAGTGGGTGACAACAGGCATAGGATGGGGTCCTGGAGTCTGTGCCAGGCAGAGCCGCCTGCCCACCTGATGCAGGCATGATCTGGGTCTGTGTTTTCACGTTCTGGAAGCCCATGTCTTCTGATTGAAACATGGGCCCTACAGACATTTAATGTGTTCTGTCCAAGCATTTCTTTCTTTTTTTTTTTTTTAACAGTTCCATCAAGAAAGTTCTAGGGGACTTTCTGGTTTTGATGAACTAAATGCTGTTTTATTCATGTTACGAGGTACACTACGCATCCTACTTCATTACGGTTCACTTCCTATTTTCCCTGTTCCAGAGAGAAGTAGAACGAGAAGCTTTTTCAGAATGTTCAGATAATAGGTACCTAAGGAATAGCAGAATTTACACCTTTCAGTATGTGTATAAAAGGCAGTGTCTGTATCATAAACGCATTTTTCTAAATTTATTGCACCGCGTCAGGTGTAATTGTTTGTGCTGGCAGACCTATCCACGGTGGATGAGAAACAAAACAGCACAGCTGCAATTTAGTGTAATCTATTTAAAATACATGTACTTCCCTCTCCTTGAACAATCTGTCCAAAAGGCTGTCGTTTCATGTGGGACTCCGCCTGTATGGCTCAGAGCGGGAATCAGTAGTTTCTTTGTTCGTCGCCATGGAAACAAATCAGCCTATCCCCAGCGGCTGTCAGGTCTCGAAGGGCGGTGCGGGGTGGCTCAGCGGAACTTGGTGGTGGAGCAGGCTGGTGCGCTGCAGTCCCGTGCTGTCCCCGCAGCCCAGCCATGCAGGACCTGCCCCGGCGGTGCTCCGCCCTGCCCTTCCTCAGCTCCTTCCTCCAGGGCCGCCGGCACTCGTCTTCGGACCCCATCCTGCAGCAGGACCGGCGTGGCTCGGCCGCCCAGACACTGTCCTCATCCTCTCTCCAGGTGATGGTGGCCGTGGCCTCAGTCAGCTGTGCCGAAGGAAACCCAACCTGCCTCCAGAGAAAAAGTAAAGCACAGCTTTGAGTTTAAATTCAGACTGTTGACGGTTAATTCTCCGTTGTTCTTTCTACTCTCTGTTGTGCTAAGAGCTTCAGTGGACATGTACTAGCAGATAAAGGGATTAAATGTTTTGTGCTTTTGCATTAAAAAATGTAATTTTTGAAAAAAGTCATCCCCTTGTTAAGAGATCTGCTTTTACTGTTTCTTCCTCTTCATTACCAATGTGACAGGTGGAGATTATTGTGTGTGGAAACCTTTTCTGTATTAAGAGACCGTGCACTCAGATGAAAAGGAAACGGTTTTATTTCTGACAAAATGACAGAAATGTAGCACCGGCTTGTCATCTACAATCCTGAGATAACATGGAAGCTGTTTCTGGTGTTACTGTTCCATTTGGAGAGTGGAATCTTGAGTCCTTCCTCCCTTGTATGTTCTAGGAAACTCAGGACGTCCAACACCAAAGTACACGAAAGTCGGAGAGCGCTTACGGCATGTGATTCCCGGACACATGGCCTGCTCCATGGCGTGTGGTGGCAGAGCGTGCAAGTATGAAAACCCCGCCCGCTGGAGTGAGCAGGAGCAAGCCATTAAGGGGGTCTACTCGTCGTGGTAAGTGACCCTGTGGGTGTGCAGCAGGCAGTGGCTGTGGAGGAGACCGCGTGTGGGTGTGAAGTCAGAGCACCGCACCTCTGCCTGGCCTGCAGCATGATGAGCTGTGTGATCTCAGCATGCCAAACCTCATCTGTAAAACAGAAATAATAAAACCAACTGGTAGGGCTTTTATTGATGAAATGATGTACGTAACCTATCTTAAAGAAATGATAACAAGATAGCTCTCGTTATCATTTATTGTTAAGATATCTTCTCAAGTTGCTAGAAATAACGTGTTCAGCTACACATTTGAGAAGGCAGGAGGTAATTACATGTTTTGTCCCTTTCACACGGGTATATATTAGCCCCGTTTTTCTTTTGTTCCCGTCTTCTGTATGAAAGGGCACGCTTATACACAAATACACTGTCCGTTGCCTCAGTACACAGTGGAACGCCTTGTGGGCTCAGCACAGGGTAAGATGCTGCATGGTTTGTGGTGTGCAGATGCGACCTGCCTTTCAGAGGGCTTGGCTTCCCTCTTCTCCTTATTAATAGTAAACTATTGAGTAGGCCTCTTTTGATATAGTGATATCTCTGACAGATTCTGATCATCAAGCCATGTTGCCTTTGAAATCTGCTGAGAGGAATTTGGGGTTTAAAGAACACTAGTGGTGGATCATTTCCAGCAGTGAAAATCCATTTCCAGACTAGATTTTTGTCAGCTGGCCTCCCTAACCTGCAGCTGGGGCTTTTTCACACAGGCCTGGCTGGCACGTGTGTGGTAACAGAGTTGGGATCTGCTGTTGCTACTGTTCCCCACAGATCACAGTCTGGTCTGAAGACTGTTGTGCGAAAGCAAGTGCTGTGCCTCAGTGCAGTCAGACCACAGGTCTCCAATAACGCAGCTTGAGATCATAGTGATGTTTTTGGGTCATTGTTGACTAAACATCTGAGTCTTTTTCACCTCCCGTGCTTTCACAGCACTTCTCTCCTTCTCTCCGTATAAGTGCTACTGAATTTGGGGGGGCCCCCATCAAATTTCAGGGCTTGCCCCCGTGGGGAGGCATGATGTCTTTTGGGATCGTGCTCTGCTCAGCTGATGTCTCCGTCACTCCTTGGGCTCGTGTGACCCACTGCTCCTGACAGACTGCCTGGCTTATCTATCACCAGAGCCCTTGTGGGGGGGGGGGGTGGCGGTTGTCTGTTGGGCCTCTGCCCGTCTATCCTCAGGCCAGGCACTGTGCTAGACACTGTCAAACTATCACATCATCTTCATAAGGCTCCTGAAAAGTAGCCATGGTTAGTGTCATTGTACTGATGAAGGAACTGGGGTCCAGAGTAACCTACTACCCAGCTAGACATAGAAAAGCCAGCACTTGAAACCAGGCCCAGTGGACTGCCAAGCCCATATGTTCTGCTGAATTACAATAACTCAGCATTTATTCATAACCACACGCCAGAATTTGTGCTAAAGATTTCACACCCACATGGTATTGAATGCTCCTGCCAACCCGGCGAGGCGGGCGTTATCGCTGCTTAACACCATCAGTAACCAAGGGGCAGAGTTATTTTGGCTGCAGAACGAGGGACATCTACCAGGCCCTCCAAAGTCTCATGAGAGTCCTTGGAAATATGCTGCCAGAGTCCACAGATACTTTACATGCTGGGGTTTTTTTCAGGGATTCAGGTTTCTTAGAGCCCTCATCAGGGTGCAAAATTGAAGCCAGAACCTATATAAGAAAATTGTTCTAGGGGCACCTGCGTGGCTCGGGGCTGAGTGCCTTCAGCTCAGGTGGTGATCCTGGGGTCCTGGGATCGAGTCCCACATCGGTCTCCCCACAGGGAGCCTGCTTCTCCCTCTGCCTGTGTCTCTGCCTTTCTCTCTGTGTCTCGAATGAATGAATGAATGAATAAAAGAAAATTGTTCAAGAGTTGTTAACATCGTAGAAAAAATAGGGACTTGATATCTCATTCTCTTAGTTCTTAGAGCTAGAACCTTCCAGGTTTTTGCATCTCACCAGCCCCTGCTCCTTTCTAGGGTCACTGAGAATATCCTGGCTATGGCTCGCCCGTCCACCGAGCTCCTGGAGAAGTATCACCTCATTGAGCAATTCCAGAGGTAAAGGCCACGTTGCTGACACACTTGCTAAGCCAACTTGAGTTTTCTCATCCATTGCTTTTGGCTTCAAATAGTTAAACAATAGGCAGCTTATTTCAACTAGGAAATTGAGGTTTGGAGAGTGATTAATAATGTTTATTATTGCCAAAAATGGGTTGGTTTTTTTAAAACCCTAGCTCTCAATGTGATGACTTTTTTCTTTTCTCCTGTAAGCCACGGCATAAAAACAATCATCAACCTGCAGCGCCCGGGTGAACATGCCAGCTGTGGGAACCCTCTGGAACAGGAAAGCGGCTTCACGTACCTTCCTGAAGCTTTCATGGAGGCTGGCAGTGAGTGTTCCACCTCCCCTCCATGAGTCACCAAGAACAGTACCCAGACTCGTCAGCTCACAGGGTGATAGAATGACCGCTTTCTGCGGGGGCAGGGGCGGGCTCCCCACAGAGAAGATGAGCGCTGATTCCAAATAATGCCACCATTCTTCTCTAGTGCTGCTGCTCAAAGTACAGGATTGCTTTTGTCTGTGGGAGGGATCCTGGGAGGAGCCCTGTCAAGACAATGTCCACATTCGCTACCGTAACAGTGCCCTGGACCATCCCGGAGTACTTTCTGCTTCACACAGGCACCATGCAGGTGCAGTGAGCACCCACTTGCCTGGATCACACAGCATGTGCGTGGCAACAGGATTTGGACACAGGACTAACTCATGCTTTTATTGCTGTCCAGCTCTGCTTCCGGGTGGAAATCAGGGGTTCTTTAGGTGACAGTCCCAGAAGCCCCAGTCTTGGGAGCCTAGGGATGGAGTCAGGACCAGGCTGGAAAGGACCAACCCTGGCCACTTTGGGGACTTGTTCTTAAGAAGCGTGTATCTAGCTTTTTTGTCTCCCCTGGATGGAAAATCTGTATGTCCCCACCTGTGCCACTTATCAGTCCTTCAGACACATCTCCGTGCTTACACAACATGCCCTGCCTTCCCTCCGTAGCTGAGTGATTTGGGCAAAGGTCATGGGCTTTATTAATTTCCAATCCTGTTTCATCGTAATTCTTTCTGGCTGAGTTTTAGCAGGCAATGTCTTAGGTAATATAGAAGGTGCTTTGTAAGAAGTGTTGTTAACAATGAACTTGCTGGAAATGTAAAAAGCCTATTATTTTAGGCCTACGCATCCAGTTCAATACATGTGCCTTACAGCTTTACACTTCTCGTGACTTCACTCACTCTCTTCAAATGGCTATGCAAGGATATCTCCTGTATGTTGATTGTTTTTTCCTGTTTTCTTATTTTCATCATCCAGTTTATTTCTACAATTTTGGATGGAAGGATTATGGTGTAGCATCGCTTACCACCATCTTAGATATGGTGAAGGTGATGACATTTGCCTTACAAGAAGGAAAAGTAGCTGTCCATTGTCATGCAGGGCTTGGTCGAACAGGTAAATTCTAGGAAGTGGACTTATTGTCTTGTAACATATTTAAATATGTAAAGAATAATATTTCATAACTCTAGAAGATAAATATTTTTCAGAATCCGATCAATGTTTTGAAGTCAAATGGTAGGAACAACAGAAAATTTGAAATATCTTAAACAGTTTCAGTGACCATTTTTTTGTGAGAGTATTATCTCTCACAATCTCTCTCTTTTGAGAGATTTAGGCCTGAAAACTCCTCATATTTAGTAAACAGATGGGTTTCCACAGCTCACTAAATGACCACTCTGGTTTTTCTTCAAAGGAAAAAACCCCAGCACATTATTTTAATGAGTAATGTCTTTTAAAAATGTAATTTTCCTTAACCAAAGTAATGACAGTAGAAAGCATTGTCTCACTTTGTGTGTTCTAAGCATTTTACACACACTGGTTAAGTCTTTAGCAACAATGTGACTTTTGAAGGAGGTTAAATAATTTGCTACGTTAGTAAGTGGCAGAGCCAAGATTTAAATTCATGGCTGGAAGGATTATATTTGCGAAGAGAGTCTATCTGTGCCTAAAATTCCAAATAAAAATAAATTATTTTACTTAAAAATGCAGCAAATGTCAATGCAGTGCTGATACTGACACAAAAATAAATACCACAGGATTAGGCTATTAGTTGTCTTCGGGTCCAACCAGACATCCAAGCTCAGCACTGTCCATGAGTCCCTGTGTACCTGCTTCCAGGTCTCCCACCTGCTGGCGAGGGCGTTCAGGTGAGGACTCAACCCCGCCTAGAACATCAGCTCTTAGGGTCCAGCCAAGGCCTCACTGTTCCTGGGGGTTCTGTACGACCGCACTGCAGTCTCCATACTTTCTCTGAAGTGCCGTGTCCCAGTGAGAAAGATTTCTGAGTCACTGCCCCTACTAAGAGCCGTGCAGTTTGCAGAAGTCCTGATTATCATCTATGACGTGATTGACAGACTTAGTGAACCATACAGATGTCTTTTGACTTGCCTTTTACCCTCCTATTAGTTAACTATCAGTTGGATTAATTATTTATCACCAATTATGTTATTCATTTTAATTTAATATTAGTTAACAAGAATAATGATATCTATAACGTTAAGGTTGTTTCTTTTAATAATAAGTATTTATAAAGTTACGTCTTGGTCTGGAGAAAACTATTAGTGCAGACAAAACTCCAGAAATAAACTGTTAATGTGAATAATTCCCAGAGAAAATACACCCAAAAAGGAAGAATGCCAGGCTGGGAATGTGGCAACAGGTGATGGCAAAGATGGCAGGAGTGGGAAGTAAGTGTGAGCCAGGGCAGGTAGTAGAGTGGACTGTGCTCGCTCCTTATATTCCTTAGACCCTCTTCAACGGGGTAAAAGTGTTCCTGCTGTACTTCCTGCTCTGAACTGCTCTTAGAATATTCCATCCAGTCAGTCCATAACTCTGCCTGGACCTTCCCCTCACCCACACTCTCTCCCTCATCCCCCCACCACACTCTCTCCCTCATCCCCCCACCACACTCTCTCCCTTGTCCCCTCACCTACATGCTCTCCCTCATCCCCTCACCCACTCTTTCCCTCATCCCCCCCACCACATACTCTCCCCCATCCCCTCACCACAGTCTCTCCCTCATCCCCTCACCCACATGCTCTCCCTCATCCCCTCACCACACTCTCTCTCCCATCCCCTCACCAACACTTTCCCTCTCAGGGTACAGAGATGAGTGTGGATTCTCAGTCATGGGGAGAAATGACATATAGACAGGGGAATAAACACTTGCACAAGAAGTCAGTAAGTTATAACTGTCCTTAAAATGTTCCTTTAAATGATTTACCACATATTCAAAATTTAAATCTCCAAGAGTGATAAGTTATATGTGTTTTCATACCCATCTTCTCTTTCCCTCTAGGTGTTTTAATAGCATGTTACTTAGTTTTTGCAACAAGGATGACTGCTGACCAAGCAATTATATTTGTTCGGGCAAAGCGGCCCAATTCCATACAAACTCGAGGACAACTGCTGTGTGTGAGGGAATTTACTCAGTTTCTGATTCCTCTTCGCAATATATTCTCTTGCTGTGACCCCAAAGCACACGCTGTTACTCTAGCGCAGTATCTCATTCGCCAGCGGCATCTGCTTCATGGTTATGAGGCCCGACTTCTGAAACACATTCCCAAAATTATCCACCTCATTTGCAAATTGCTCCTGGACTTAGCCGAGAATAGGCCAGTGGTGACAGAAGAGGTGGCCGAAGTGCCCAGCCTGTCTGCCGAAATTGAAAAGACGGTTTCTGAGATGATCACCCTGCAGCTGGATAAAGAGTTGCTGCAGCAGGGCAGCGACGTGTCAGATTCCTTCCCCCCAACCGCAGTGGCCACAGACTTTGAGAATCAGGATGTGATTCTTTCCAGCGAGCAAGAGATTGACCCTCTTTGGAAGAGGCGGAATGTCGAGTGCCTTCAGCCCCTGACTCACCTGAAAAGGCAATTCAGCTACAGCGACTCAGATTTAAAGCGGGCTGAGTCGCTTCTGGAGCATGGCAGTGCTCCGTGGACAGGACCTGCCCCGGCCTTGCTTGGTCATGACCCCGAGCAGCAGAAGCCCATAAGCCACTGGCACACCCCTCAGTCTCCGCAGCTTGATCCAAGTAAGGAAACGCTGGTCCGAAATACGTTCTCTTTCTGGAATCAGGCTAAATTTGGAGGCCTGGAAGGACTCAAAGATGAGGGGGCACCGGTTTTCCATAAGGAGACTATGGCAAAGGAAGTTCCGCGGAGCAGAACCTTCTCTTCAGGTGTTTCAGGTTCATACAATCCTGGGGAACCAGCTCTACTGGACCATGCAGATATTGCCAAGGAGCCAGGCTGTTCTCCGCAGCAAGTGCCCCGCTGTCAGTGCAAAACTCCTGCTGGCTGCTGCTCCGACCCTTCCCGCAGCCCTGTGTCTTGTGGCTTCAGCCCCAAAGCACCCTTCTCGGCTGGACACACTCAAGTCCCCAACAGCAAAGATCTGCCCACAGTTGCTCCAAACACTGCTTTACAGTCTGAATTGAGTGTCGAAGCCAGGAGAATACTGGCAGCCAAAGCCCTGGCAAGTTTAAATGAATGTGCAGAAGAGGAGGTGAAAAGGAAGGTAGAAATGTGGCAGGTACTTATATTTCATTTAATTGTGTTTGTGTGAGAAATACATATGGCAGAGCAAAAATGTAATACATGTTACCAAATTCAAGGGTTACAGGAATTTGAAGACCTGTTGGTGTAATACCTAACTTTTGAATTTCAGGTTTCTTGATCTCTGTGTGAAAGTGCTCGATGTTTAGCACTTAGCGGGGTCCTTGGAGCAGGGCATTGATACCAATACCTGTGGCAGCTTTCTGCTTTCCCACTGGGTGCGTGGACGGACAGACCACAGCACACAGCTTTAGGAACTGATGTGAGCATCTCTAACCTGAGTCTGATAGGGAGCCATGCTTGGAGAACCACTGACCAAGTGAAATCAGAGAAAATTCTTTTCCAAAGTCATCAATCCAAGTGTTGAGTGAGGTCAGAACACGTGACGGATGCTGTCAAAGATGTTATTTATGTAGAGAGAGTGAGAGGAGTGTGGAGGGAGGGGCAGCGGGAGAGAGAGGATCCCAAGCAGGCTCCAGGTTCAGCACAGAGCCTGACCTGGGGCTCAATCTCATGACCCTGAGATCATGACCTGCCCCAAAATGGAGTCAGATCCTTTACTTACTGAGCTGCCCACGTGCCTAGTACATTAGTTTTACCTAAGATTGTGTCTTCAGGGCCATTTCTTGGCTTTTGCTTAAATTAGAATGTGAAATTTTATTTTTTTTAAAGATTTTATTTATTCATGAGAGACCCAGAGAGAGAGGCAGAGACACAGGCAGAGGGAGAAGTAGGCTCCATGCAGGGAGCCCGACTTGGGACTCGATCCTGGGTCCCCAGGATCAGGCCCTGGACTGAAGGTGGTGCTAAACCTCTGAGCCACCCGGGCTGCCCAGAATGTGAAATTTTAAATTTTAACCCTTTTTGTGGTGTATTTTGATTAGAAACACAGTCTTCAATTGGTTGTGCTCTTTGCCCTGAATGAGCAGCTGGTGTAGACAAAAGGCAGGCCTTAACACCTAGTTACCAGAGACTAGTTAACTGCCCAAATGTGCGGCTGACCTGGGGAGGCCTGGTTCAGTGAAGTCTAGACTTGTTAGCCCATCATCTTCCACAAATTATTTGTGTGGCTGCTCCTCTGTAGTCTACATAAATTAAGCAAGGCCGATACATGTTCCAGGAGGGTCAGAACCTTCCAGATACAGAGTTGGGAATACTAGCCACAGAGCCTTGCACCCAGTCCCAGCTGTGCGGCTGCAGAGCATGTGCATGCTGTAAGTCAGAACTGCAGATGTTTGCTGAGCCAATGGTTAAATGTAGTGACTTCTTACTCCAAAGTGAACAAGCCTTTGGGTCAGTCAGCCTCGATCTGTGAGGACACGTGGCTGGCCCCCTCCCTCCCAGGTCAGCCTAGCACGGTGGACTGTTGCAGCACTTCACACACAAAAGCATTTTCCGGGGGTGAACATGACCCTTTTGTTTGGATAGGCTTGCCCTTTATTTCACTTTCTGGATTTTGTTATGTGCCTTTGAGCAATAAAACATAGCTGAGTTCTGGAAAGAGCCCAGTGAACTGTGATTTGGGCAGCACAGTGCAGCCTGTTCCTGTGCTGGACCCTCTCGTCTGCTACATTGCAGGGACCCGTAGGGCAGAGGGTACCCCAAGATCCTTCGTGAATCTTCACAGTCCACATGAGTTAAGTATCACAGGTAGGAAAGCCAAGGGTCACGGGGGTCAAGACACATGCTCAAGGTCACATGGCCCGAATGTGTATGACCCGTGGGGAACAGGGCCTCCACACAACTAAACATAGTGCCTTCTTTATGAAATAATAAAGAGGAACCAGAGGAGCCCAGAGCCAAGGACCCTGGCGGGGGCAGGAGTATCACATCTGGACTCATGCACAACCTAGGGAATGAAAGCTGTCTGCCCTGTTGTGCTTTGGTCTCCTGGGTAAGCACCCTCTTCCCTGCACCCACACACCTGCCATCAGGGTCTCACTACAGGTGTTGTAGGAATCGGGTAGGTTATGTGCTACCGGCTGTCCTAAGTCTTATGAAAATACTGGAGGCATGAATGAACAAATGTGCAAGGATTGCGCTTGCTGTATACGCTCTATTTACTAGCACATACATCTGAGCCCCATCAGAAGTTAAAATTCTTCCTGCTTTTCCCCTGGTCTCTGCACAGCAAACTGTTAGGGGCTCCTGTTTAACCCCCAGCACGTGGCATGTGGGCAAGGCCAGCTTGCCCCGCCCCATCCAGTCTCAGGGTGTGGGGCTGGCTGCGTCCAGGCCTGCAGGGGACTCTGAAAAGGTGGGTGAGAGAGCTGTGTCTGCCGCAGCTGCCCGCCATTCAGCAGTTTTCTGGGGCACACTTGGAAGTCTTAGCTTTTCCTCATTCTGGGGTAACTTGAAAATGTTGTCTTATTTGTGCTATGTCATCCACCATTCTATATCATCGCAGTACATATTTCTGTTTTGTCCCAAGGAACCTAAAAGGAAGGCTCCCTCTTCCTGAGCAGCGTCTATGGTTTCAGAGTGGGGCAGAGAGCTGAGCTTTTGGGCCAGCCAGTCCCTCTCTCAGTGGCTTTAGCACACCCATGGGGCTGCGGCCAACTTCAAAGACGGAAACCGAGGCTCGGAGAGACTCAGCATCTCAGCCCTGTGTGCCACCCCGGGCGGTGGCGGATGGGGGGCGGTGTGTGTCTCAGGGCCCGAGACCTTCGCTCATGGACAGGATGAGGGCCTTCAGACCTCAGCATGTGCTGCCTCCCTGTCCCCCCATCCCTCCCCCATCCCTCCTCATCATCATTGCCCCCCCCTTCCTCCTTCTCCCTCCCCTGCCTCCCTTCCCTCATCCATCCCTGCCCCTCCGCCTTGCTCCCTCTCCTCCCCTTCCTCTTCCCCTCCCACCCCTCCCCCACTTTTCTCTTTCTTCCCTTCTTTTTAGAAAGAACTAAATTCCCGAGATGGAGCTTGGGAAAGAATATGCGGCGAAAGGGACCCTTTTGTCCTGTGCAGTCTAATGTGGTCCTGGGTGGAGCAGCTGAAGGAGCCTGTGATCACCAAAGAGGACGTGGACACACTGGTTGCCAGCCATGCAGATGCCGCAGAAGCGTTGTTTCTATTAGAGAAGGTAAGGAGACTGTCTGGCGAAGTTAGCTGAGGCCCTCAGTGTGGGCTTTACATGCAGAATCCCACATCTGGGTCTAATGTACATGTTTTCAAGCTAAGAAATGCAAGCCAGCGTCATACATAGGAGCTGTGAACCAGACGGGGAGAATGCCTGTACCCCCAGCAGCACCACAAACATGGCGAAGGCTTTCCATCAAACTTCTCTGCATTTGTTACCTGGGCTTGGACAACTGTCCACTTCAATCACACATAGACCCAGATGCACATGCATGCACACCTTTAGAGTCCCTTCTGTAGGCTGCCCTCCCGGCCCCTGGGTGAGGGGCTGGGGGCGGAGGTCACCCCAGGGGTGGCCAGGCCCTCACCAGGTCATGATTTCCGTTGTCCCCTTCATTCATCAACGTGGCCTGGACAGGGCAAGGCCCCGTCTTACAGGAAAGGCCAGCAGCATGTGTCAGCAGGATGCAACCCCCGGTGGCTCTGGCACACAGCTCACACCCACCCATCATGGGGCTCCTGCCGCACCTGGCCCTCCTCCCCTGCAGCCCCGCTCTAGGATATTCACATTCCCCCACCAGCCATCCCTGTGACAATCACTTATGCTTGCTGGGTTCTCCCCATTTCCGAGTACGCCCTCACAGTAGATCTTCAGGAGCCAAGTCAGTGGCTCTGTGGGGAGCATACTGGGTGCACATGAGCTCCAGATGCAAAGTGTCTCCCTGGCTCCTGTAGAGCGAACAGCCCCTGGGAGTCCAGTCGGGCACGTTCCTCGGGGACCCTCCCTGTTAGGTTCCAGTGGGCGCACTGGGAGAGCACCCCATTCCTCTGCAGCTCCTGCCACAGGCATGCACGTGCTGACGCGGGTCCCCACTACATGTCCCCGTCCCCGTCCTGCTGTCCCGCCGTGGCATGTCAGCATCCACCACCTGAACTCAAGCAGTTTTGTCCAGAGACGAGTGGATTCTCTCTCATCAGCTCCCTGCGAGGAAGACATTTGACTGGAAATTACACTTATATTCATTTTCAGTTATACTTGGTGTCATCAGCTTTGATTTTTACCTCCTTGAAAGCTTGTCAGACAGTGTTAACACCGCACAGGAACAGCACCAGAGCCCTTGGGTAGACAGTTGGGTGTTTGAGGTGACGCGGCCTGGTCCCACTCCAGCACCCGGCTCCACAGTGGCTTTGAGTCTATGTCTTGAGGCATTTTCCAAACCACTTGTTTGATTGTGATTTCTGCCAGCACAGGGCCAACACCAGACCATCCTGTGCGTGCTGCACTGCGTAGTGAGCCTGCAGGCAGTGCCCGCAGACGTGGAGGAGGCCATCCTCGCCCGTGCCATTAAAGCCTTCACCAAGGTAAGTCCCACGCTGCCGGCCACAGCTTGTAAACCAGAATCCAGGGTCTCCCACCTGCTCTGAAATAAAACCTGCATGAAGTGTGTTTAACATTTCTCAAACATAGTTGTAGACTTTGGCCAAAAAATACTTGTTTCTCAACACTGATATATTGGAAAAAGCTTAACTGTGGGTTTTTGAAGGAGAACATAGGAACAAAGAGCTTTCAGATGAAAACAATTGGATGTTGAGAAAAATCTTGAAAATCATGTGCCAGGCAGGAGTCAGAGAAATGTTTTCTGGCCAAGCCCGTCTTCTTTGGGCCTCCACAGGTAACCGGCCACTGAGAACCCAGCATCCAGCATCGATGACCCAGTGCCTGGCCCCGGTTGGGCAGAAAGTAAAAAAAAAAGCAGAAAGTAAAAAAAAAAAGAAAAATCTACGCACAGCCTTCAGGCTTGCAGCCTCTGTTCTGGCTGAAGGGAGAACCGGGGCCATGTCAGGAGGAGAGCTCCCCTCACCCCTTCAGTCTGGTTACTCTCACAGGGAATGTGACCCTGTGATGAAGCCCAGTTTTTCAGCCTCGGTGTCTGCGGTAAATGGTAGCAACGATGCCTGATGCCCCATATGATGGTGCGTGCTCCCCACGGCCTCCCCCTGCACACTCTGAAGTGCAGCCTAACCCACTTCCCATTCCATCTCCAGAGCTTTGCGGCCTCTTGGTTTCTTCCCAACAGTTTCCAGACCAGTGGCTCAGACCCACAGTGCATGCATGGTCCTTTGCGCCTCACGTTTATGTCTTCACAGACCATGAGGCCACCTGCCCTTGGGGGGGTGGCAGTTGGGTGCTTAGCAATGTGGACAATTCAAACCATTATTACCGTTAATGAGAAGCTTTTGCAGATAGGTTAGGCGATATAATGAAATTTCTGAATGTAACTGAAAAAAATCCTTAGTGTTGGTTTCTCTTAATGTGGTAGGAACTCTCTGCAGTTTCTGTTGGCCTTTTAGGGGAATCCTGATGGAAAGTTAAACACAGTTGTTCCAAACCCAGCTTTGGAATGGTTGAGGGATTTTCGTGGCTCTGTCTTCGGGTGCGTAGTCCCATGAATGGAGGCCCTGACCACCCACCCTCATGCTGGGTCCACTCTTCTAGGGAGGATGTCCCGTGCCCCTTGGGCCAGAGCTCTCCAGGCTTGCCGCAGCCCCTCGACAGACAGTGGGGTCACCTGTGCCCAGGGAGGTCACCCAGGATGCAAAGCCCCTGCTGTACCACCCCACCTGGCAACCCTCACCTCTGGGGTATGGGGACCTCCAAGGGCCAGGGCAGCCACGTGATTGTGACATACACGCTGCCCGGATCCTAGAATTATTTGTTTGACCTGGCTGTCTTGAGTCCACACACGTGTTAGCCAGGCTGGAGCCTCTGCGGGCCCTCCTGTGGAGCCGCATGTTCTGTGGGAGGGGATGGGGAAGAGGTGTGGGAATCGCTCTGGGCCTCTGTCCTATCATCACTTGACCCTGCAGCCCACTGAGCTTGGGCAAACAGCCCAAATACATGGACACAGTATGTCCCAGGAAAGGGCAAGGACACTAAGGCCTGTGGATGTTTTCTCCATGGCAGACGGACACATGGGACTCTCACATTTACCACTCAAGAAACCCTAAGGTGGCAGCTATTGTGGTGTGCCTGGGACAGAGGGTGGGTGTGAGCAGGGTAGCCCCTACAGCGGTGAGGACGCCTCCCCTCGTGTCCATTCCCAGCCCCCCCACCCCCCATGAGTGGTTAGGCTCCAGATTCAGAGCTCTGCCCTCTGGTGGTTGGCGGTCTCTGAGAGTGCACATGGAGCAGGAGATCCAGAAGGGCAGTATTGACAGGATTGACATTTCTATTGTGGTCTCTCAATTAAAATTAATGTGTGCACCATGTTGTGGGTGCTGTTTTATTGTATAGAATTGTGTTGTAAGTCAGGTTTTTCTCCATTCCCCCTTTCTTTTCACCCAAAATCAGCTAATTATGATTCTGTTATGGTTGGTGTCCTGAGTCTATGTGTTCTCTGTCAGCAGGTTGATTTTGACTCCGAAAATGGACCAGTGGTTTACGACACCCTGAAGAAAATTTTTAAACACACGCTGGAAGAAAACAGGAAAATGACAAAAGACGGACTTCAGTCTGGCGTTTAGTGCCACTTCACCCGTAGCGGACAGCTCGGACCCGGAGACCTAGGTGGCATTTCTGCGCACAGGTGATCAGGTTGGAACCTGAAGCCACTTGGTCTCACAGCACTTTAATGTCAGACGCTCTTGGCTTGTGCTCAGAACACTCATTTCTGTTGGGAGCAATTATTTATTTTAAACTATCCGGGAGCTACATTTTTGTGTCAAAATTGCCATCATGTTGGTGCCACTTCCTTGTATTTATTTGACAGAATTAATATTATTGTAAAAACATGTTAAGTATGTGGTGTTTACATCTTTATTCTTTTTGACATTTTGAAGCAAGTTGTAACTCTTCTTTCTGAAACAGTTATTTTGTGGAACCCTTGCTGGAGTTTTACCAAATAGGTCATTTTAGTAGTAAGATTTCAGTGGGGATCAGTACCCCTGAACCATGGCCTATGGAAGTCACAAAGTGTCTTAAACTGTTTTGTATTTGTTAATAAGAAAGCTATTGACACAGCAGTTTTTAAGGATTTTTTTTTTAATTTGCAAGCTTTTTGTTTTTCTTTTTACAAATGTGTCAAAGGGTTTCAAAGTAATACTGTTTTTCAGACCAATTTAGCTTTGTGTTGAAGGGTTGACTGAAGCGGTTGGGATTTTTACTGCAGGAGGTAGCCTTGCTCTTGAACAGGCCTCCAGACCCTAGTGCCAACCTCTGCTGCCACAGGAGGCAGGAGCGTTTCCCAGAATGTCTAGCCTGACGCCCACCAAACAGCGTCTTCACAGAGGAAGGCCATGTGGGCAGCTGCTCGGAAGCAGTACTCCACAGGGAGGACCATCAGGCGGGGCAGGCTCTGTGCAGCAGCGTGACCACCAGCCCACACCTTCCACCATCGTCTTGGGGCCAGATCTTCAGCCACGCATCACTCTGAGAACTAGGATTCTTAAATTAAACATGATACACATAGGCCATGATCACCCTACGGGCTCTAGATAAGAAACAAGTGAACTAGTTACTACCTACCTAGTAACTGCCTAACTAGTCTTTGTGAATCATACCAATGGTGGCTCAACCATTGAGCCGTTGAAGCCATGATGAATGTGAGCAGTGCCAGAGGCCATAAGAAGGTGATCATTTCTCCCAATAAATGAGATATTCATCTAACAAATTCCACGCTAAGGCTATGACCTAACTTTAGAGACAGAATTTGGGGGGAAGGAGGCTAACCATGGATGAGATGCCCCAACTCCTGCATCTCTGAATGAGGCACAGGCGCATCAGAAATATTGTAGTCTTTCTCTGTCCTATGAACTCCAGTGGCAGATGAAGAATGCTGTTTCCTCCCACACTGTTTGAATTTTCTTAGGAAATCAGATCCAGTGAATTTTAATGAACTGGGTTGGCTGTTCTTGAAATTTCTCATTTTTTTTTTTTTAAATTTACGATAGTCATGCAGAGAGAGAGGCAGAGACACAGGCAGAGGGAGAAACAGGCTCCATGCACTGGGAACCCGACGTGGGATTCGATCCTGGGTCTCCAGGATCGCGCCCTGGGCCAAAGGCAGGCGCCAAACCGCTGCGCCACCCAGGGATCCCAAAATTTCTCATTTTTAAGTGCCTAACACAGGAAAGAAGGTACATTATGTCATTATATCCAAAGGTACATTATAAAAATATGTTTTTTACCCAAAAAGATGTTTACCGTCATTTCTGTAAGTCTCACGTGGGCAGCTGCCAGCATGCCTCACTGGACAAATGGCTATCGGCCCAAGTGTCTGAGATGGTCTTGCACGGCTACGATGTGACCGCGGCAGTGCCAGCCCGAGGACAAGAGCTGATGGGAGAGAGAAATGAGGCTATTTGCAGGCTTTGTGTGCATTTGAATAAAAGTATGAAAAGAACAACCCATAGCCCTCATGCATGTTTAGCTTGGAGCTCTTGGGGTCCTGATGATACAGGTGTGATTGGCGATGGGATGAGCCTAATGGGCAGACAGGGTCGTGGCCTGGACATCAGCCAGGCTCTAGTCATGCCGGACTCTGCTGGTGCAGGATGAGCAGGCAGGCTGGAGGGGAGAGGGGAGCTCTGGGGGGAGCAGGTGAAGGGAATCTTAAGGCTGCTGGGGTTCCTGCCTTCCTATTTTTGAGTGGATGAGGAGTTCTCTGCAGCCCGAAGGATCGTTCTTCCAACCTGAAGAGCTTACAGGGTTGCGGGATTCAGCTCAATGGAAGCATGAAGGGCAAGAGCATACACACCCACACTGTGGCCATGCATGTGCATTGTCTAGAAGCACTGTTTGCCCTTGCCTGGGGGAGTCCCAGTCTGACCGACTCTGGACCATGACCTCCTCCTTTCCAAAGCCGCCTGCCTGTGCACTACTGACAGAGTGCCCGCTGGGGACTATAGACCTTATCGGCACCAGGCTCCGGGGGGGCTCTGTGGAGCACCGAGCTGTTCGTGACTGGGTGAAGGTACCTGCCTCCTCTGTCCTGCAAAGCCGGTGGGGCTGCCCTGCTACTGTCGCATGTCTCAGCGTATCTCACTTAGGAAGCACAGGATTTCCGGCCACTTACCAGTTTTCTCTCTCAGAGTTCATGGATGCCCTCTGCACCAAGTGCTGCTGGTTTTGAGATTGTTTTATCTGTTTGCAGAACTCAGTCTATAGCCAGCTGCTCAGTCTTATCTCAGGAAGAGCATGTGCTTTCATCATGTCGGGGGCCCGTGAAAAACCATGTGTCCAACTTCAATAAAATTTCTGTTTTCTCTCAAATGGAGGACACCTGCTCATGTGCTCGTGTGCTGTTTCAGCCAATTCTCTAGATGTCTAAAGAAATCTCCAGAGACAATATGCTGCTGTAGACAACATGCATTCCCCAAGCTCCTGAGAGCTGAAGGCCCACAAGTAATTTCGGGGAGTGATTAAATCTGACAGTTTACTCAAGACATCTTTGTTCTTGTTGTTCCAAGTGAACAAGGATCAATATATTTTCAGTGCAAGTAAATCAAGAAGGACATTCCCTTTGGTGCTTTTTATTTTTATGAATAATGGCTCAAGAGTATCACCTTATCTAAAGGAGCCTATTTGGTGCTAGATGCATGAAAATCGTTTACAGATAACGTGGCCGGAGAAAAATTCAACTAATCCTATGATGCAGTCAGGCATTTTATTTTAGTTATGCCCCTAGGTGTGAGCTGGCCTCTGACTTGCCTGCCACTGACAGTAAACCTGTCTTGCAAGCTATCACGATGGATGCCTGAGCAGTGTAGCTCAGGGAAACCTTTGCTGTCAGCCGTTGTTTAAAACATCCAGTCATGAAACACAGTGTCCAAACCAGACTTTATGATCATCAGGCCCCATGCGCTGGAAATAAAAGTTTCATGCATCCACGGTAATTTAGATCACAACAGAGGGCTATTATGTCCTCACTTCCTGGCTTTCTTGATGAAAATGAAAAGATGTTTTACCCTTCAGATTGCCTGTTTTGGGGAGAAGTTATATTTTTGGAGTAGTTTCCTGCTTACATGGCCGTTTAATTACAGCCTGAAAATAGTTCTTGGCTTTGACTTAGTGAGTTGCTTTCTCATTTTCTTTCTTCTCTTAAAAATAAAATTAAATTAAAAATACTCAGACACTGAATTAGACTGAACTATGTAGAATAAATAGCCTACAGGTCAAAAATGATCAAATGTGGCTATTTCCTGTGGTTCAACCTAATATTAAATTTAATGCTCCTGAGGCCAGTAGGTGATATTTCCTGAATTATTTTAGCAGAGTTTAGATTAGATGATGAATTATTTTCTAAGACTATTCTCTGTGATCACAGTGGCTTCAAAACAAGTAGGAGGGACCAATGTGAAACTCCTCCTCTTTCAGCAAGCAATGCCCTGCCTCCTCTGTGTGTGACACTCTGCTGATGCTGGGGACACACGGGGTCATTTTCTCAGTCGTTTGTCTTCCATCGGGAGCCTGGTTTAGCACATGCTTGGAACTATTGCTGGAAGCCTCATTTTTTTCTAAAGATTTTATTTATTTATTCATGAGAGACACAGAGAGAGAGAGGCAGAGACACAGATAGAGGGAGAAGAAGGCTCCATGCAGGGAGCCCAATGTGGGACTTGATCCCAGGACCCCAGGATCATGCCCTAAGCCGAAGGCAGACGTTCAACTGCTAAGCCACCAGGAAGTCTGGAAGCCTGATTCTTAACACTGTCACTCACTTAATTCTGAGCATCCTTCAAAACTCAGCTCTGATTCCTTGGAACAGAGTATATTAAGTATAGTCAAATTCAGCTACATGACTATACGGTCCAAGGAGGTGGAGGGATATTACAGGCTGAATTATATCCTGAAATTCATGTTGAAGTTCTAACCCCTGGTACCTAGAATGTGACTGTATTTGAACATCAGATCATTGCAGATGTGATTAGTGAAGGATGAGGTCACTGGGGTGGCCCTAATCCAACATGACCCATGTCCCCATGAAGTAGAGGAAATGAAGACACAGACACACATGGAGGGATGACCAGGTGAGGACGCAGGGAGGACGGTGTCCACCTGCCAGGAGAGAGGCCTCGGGGGGCCGGCCTGCCCGAGCCTGGACCTTGGACTTCCCGCCTCCAAAGCTATGAGAACATATATTTCTATTGTGTCATCCGGGGCCATGGTGTTTGTTGGAGCAGTCTGAGCTGACCCACACACTCCGCAGTGCTTCCAATGTACCTGCTGTGTGCTTCTCTATTGTGTCACCTCAAACAGCACATCCCTTGGTTTTGCTTGTTTCTTTAACTCTATACAAATTGAAGAACACAATATATATTCTCCTGTGACTCACTCACGTCCAACACATTCCTCACATTTATCTGTGTAGGTATATGTAGCGCTGCGGTTCCTGTGTGTTCACTGGGGTGTGGCAGCTCTTGTGTGGATGCCCCACAATTTGCCCCTTTGACTTGTGATTGGCATTTGGATGGTTTATATTTGTAGGTAAATATAAACATGTGGGGGCACAATAGGAAGTTTTTCTAGTCTGTGGAGCTGCGAGTGGAATTTATGGCTTCAGGGCACACATATGTCCAGTTTCCTTTTCAATGACAAGGTTTTTCTAAAACCTTGATTGCATCCATTTATCATCCCAGCCATGGTGAATGAGCGTTCCCATTGTTCAGTGGCCTTGCCAACACTTAGTACTTACTGCGTTCTTTGTTTCTGCTGAATTCCACTGGTGTGAGATGGTGTCCCGGTGAGTTTCATCATGTGTTCCAGGAGGTCATTTGTGTTTCCTCCCCTCTCCGGTGCTTGTGCACGCATGTGACTGTCTCTCGGCACTTACGCACATGATGCTCAGTTGGTTTTCTTTCTCCCCATCCGTGATCCTGCCACATGCCATGTAACTCCTGGCACAGAGCAGGGATCAACAATTGTGGGTAAAAGAAGGAAGAGGGTGGAGGAAAAGAGGGGAGTGCTCTCCCCCTGAGATCAGGAAGAGCTTAGGGAGGGCTTGCCCCACTCCTGTCCACATTATGCTAGAGGTTCTGGCTGGTGAGATCAGGCAGGAAAAACAAGTATGATGCATTCAGAGGAGAAAGTAAAACCATTTTTATTTTCAGATGTGACTATCCATGTAAAAAAATCTGATGGAATCTACAGAAAATACTATGACAACTATTATGTGAGTTTAGTGAAGTGGGGAGACACAAGATCAGTTCACCAAAACCCACTGAATCTCTACGTATCAGCAATAAAGAATCTGAGGTTGAACAATGGCAGTTACCAGAGCATCAAATGCTAAGGGATGAATCTGACAGAAAATGTGAGCCACCTGTTGTGTCCATTTCCAAGGGCCACAACAGATTATCACAGACTGGGGGGCTTCCAGCCACAGACTCCAGGGGAGGAGCCTCCCTGCCTCTTCCAGCTTCTGCCTCCATCTTCACACTGTCTTCTGTTTCTCTGTCCTCTGTGGAGCTCTAATAAGGACAGATTTAGGTCCATATGGATAATCTGGGATGATCTCCTCTCGAGACCTTCAAGAACAACTGCAAAACTCTCCAAATAAACTCAAGTTCTGGGGATCCCTGGGTGGCTCAGCAGTTTAGCGCCTGCCTTTGGCCCAGGGCGCAATCCTGGAGTCCCAGGATCAAGTCCCATGTCAGGCTCCTGGCAAGGAGCCTGTTTCCCCTCCTCCTGTGTCTCTGCCCCCCTCTCTCTCTCTCTCTCTCTCATAAATAAATAAATAAATAAATAAATCTTTAAAAAAATAAACTCAAGTTCTCAGGCTCTGGGATGAGGGCATGGACAGAATGGGGCAGGGGAAGATAAGTGGCATTCAACTCACTGCACCTGCACACTGAAAACAACAAAATATTTCCCAGAGAAATTTCAACAGACCTAAGAAGATGGAGAAATACACCCGTTCGTAAGTCAGAGGGGTCAAGATGATTAATATGTCTGTTTAGATTGACCTCTGGATTCCATACAATCCTAATCAAAGTCCAAGCAGGCTTTTCTTGTAGAAGTTGACAAACTGATCCTGAAGTTCATATGGAAAGACAGAGGATCCAGAACAGCCAAAAGAACTTTGGAAAAGAACACAATTGGCAAACTAATGCTACTTGATTTCAAGAATTATTAGAAAGCTACACTAACCAAAACTGTGCAGTACTCATACAAAGATAGCAGGTGCATCAATGGGACAGGATAGTCCAGAGAGAGACCTACATGCATGTGGACACCCAAGTTTGGACAAAGATGAAAAGGCAATATGGAGAGAGGAGAGTCTTTCAACAAATGGCACCAGAACAATTGCACATTCATATGCAAAATGACAACAATAATTAAAAACCCTTGGATTACCTACAAAAATCAACTTTTAAATGTAAAATTTTAAACTGTAAAATTTCTAAGAGAAAATATATGTGACCTTAGACTAATCAGAGATTTGTTGGATATGACACAACAAGTGTGGTCCATTAAAGAACAAGCTGATAAACTGGACTACATCAAGATTAAAAACTTCTGCTCTTCAAAGGACACTATTTAAAAAAATGAAGACAAGCCGCAGACTAGGAGAGACTCTTTGCAAAGCATGTATCTGATAAAGGACTATGTGAAACCTCTCAAAACTCAACAAGGTAAAAGAAGAGCAGCCCAAACTTATAAAAGTGCCAAAGATTTGAAGACACCACCAAAAATACAGAATTGGCAAATAAGTAAATGAAAAGATGCTAAGCATCTTTTATTAGTTGTGGAAAGGCAAATGAATCTGCACAGCAAAGGAAAATACCAACAGAACTAAAAGACAACCTACAGGATGGGAGAAGATATTTGTAAATGACATATCTGATAAAGGGCTAGTATCTAAAATATATGAAGAACTTATACAACTTAACACCAAAAAATCAAATAATCTGATTTAAAAATGAGAAGACAGGCACATGAAAAGATGCTCAACATCACTCATCATCAAGGAAATGCAAATCAAAACCACCTCACACCTGTCAGAATGGCTAAAATTAACCAATCAGGAAACACAAGTATTGGTGAGGGTGTGGAGAAAGGAAAACCTGGGTACACTGTTGGTGGGAATGTAAACTAGAGCAGCCACTGTAGAAAACTGTGTGGAGGTGCCTCAAAAATTAAAAATATAACTACCTATGATCTAGCAATTGCACTACGAAGCATTTACCCAAAAAACACAACACTCATTCAAAGGGATGCATGCATTA